TTTTAACAAGGAACCAAAGAACGGACATTACCCCAGTCTGAACCAGCACTGTCAGAAGATGAAAGGGTAGGGAGGTTGCAGTTATACCGAACTAAAATCAAAGCTTTAAGAAGCAGGATCTAACTTACCGGCTCTACCACTTCAAACTTCTTCCTCTCGTGAACCTCCTGAATTTTGTACACATACTCCAAAGATGCCTCATAGAAGTTCTGCCTCTCTTTATCAACCTGCACATCTGCCTGGATTTAAACAAAAGGATTCATCAGATCCCATGAACAGGATGCAGAAAACATTCAAATTGTCCCCTCACAGGTGGAATTGGTAATAACGATCATCATTTCAGACTGCAGTGAACTGCTTTTAAAACATTATTGCAATAAAAAATTTGGTGAAACAATGTTTTTTTTAAAAAGACATCAAATGTCACACTTTTATCTGTAGTTTCAACCTACTCCTCTCATCTGTCCTTGAGAGAGTGGCAGTGTTTCCTCTAAGCTGGGAACTCTATTGCTTTGAGGTACATCGATCGTAGCATTGACTTCCAAATCTAGACCTTACTTCTGTGCATGGACCTCAAAAGGCCTGCACAGCTGGGAAGAAAATTACAGGGAACGCAGTAGAGTGGTTACTTTTTTTTTTAAAACAAAAAAACTGCAGTATCTGTTCCAAATGTCGTTTCCACTTTTATTTATTCACTTAAAGGATGCAAGTGTCACTGGCTAGAACAGCATTTATTGCCCATTGCTAAGAATTAAAGAAACATAGAAAATAAGAGCACGAGTAGGCCATTTGGCCCTTTGAGCTTGCTCCACCATCAAAATGATCGTGACTGATCATGCAACTCAGTCCTCCGTTCCTGCTTTCTCCCCATACCCCTTGATCCCTTTTGCACTAAGAACAGTGTCTAACTCCTTGAAAACAAATAATATTTTGGCCTGAACCACTGTCTGCGACAGAGAATTTCATAGGCTCTGAAGACATTTCTCCTTATCTTAAGCCTGAATGGTTGTAGGTTGTGACTCCTGGTTCTGGACTCCCAAGTCATCAGAAAATTCTTCCTGTGTTTACCCAGTCTAGTTAGAATTTTGTAGCTTTCTGTGAGATTCCCTGTCATTCTTCTAAACTTCAGTGAATATAATCTTAACTTATCCAGTCACTCATCATATGTCAATCCTGCCATCTCAGGAATCAGTCTGGTAAAACTTCATTCCCCACCCCCCTCCCCAGCCAGAACATCCTTCCCTCAGATAAGGAGGCCAAAACTGCACACAGTATTCCAGATAGGGTCTCACCAAGGCCCTATATAGTTGCAGCAAGACATCTCTGCTCCTGTACTCAAATTCTACCTTCTTGCCTTCTTCACCACCTGCGGCACAAGGACACACAGGTCTTATTGCACCTCCCCCTTTCCCAATCTATTGCCATTCAGATAATAATCTACATTCCTTTCTTTTAAACCAAATGGATACCCTCTTTTTATTTTAATTCTCTCATTTGGACATCACTGGCTGGGCCAGCATTTATTGCCTGTCCCTAGTTGCCTTAAATTTATCCATATTATACTTCAACTTCCATTGCCCTCTCACTCAACTTATCCGAGTCACACTGAAGCATCTCAGCATCATTCTTACAGTTTACCCTCCCACACAACATAGAAAAGCAGATGTTGATACAACAAGCTCCTGTTCCCCACCCATGTCATTCGTACAAATCATGCAGTAGGCAATATGTTGATAACTCCACATGCTTTATAACTGTAGGGTACAGGGAGTGGGCACAACTATAATAAAAGTTTGATAAAAAGGTGGGGAACACAACACAAGCTATGTTCAGTTAGTAGTACTATGTGGTACAGGCAACAAAATAGATTTTCACAGTGTATAGAATTTTACAGTAGCTGTTGCAACCCTATGGTATTCAATGTGGGCTCTCAGTACGAAAAGGTAGTGAGATTTTAGAATTCTCTTTTATTGAAGAATTTAACAGTTTCCTACATGTTTTCATCTTCTAATGCTTTTATTCACATGTCAAAATTACTTTGTTTACCTCTTCTCAATTCAATATAGGTTTGTCAAGGCTGCTTCCTTAAATTACAGAACCGCTACCTATTTGCCATAAGCAGTAAATTGTATGCAGCCAATTTAGCTTTCTTCACTGTGTCATAATCCCCATAAACCACCTCTGATGGCTAAGGATAAATTTCCTGTGTCTTACTTGACATCTTACTCTGCATACGCAATGTCGAATCCTCTTTTACCCAATTCACTTATAGAATCATAGGATTTTGCCGTTCAGAAAGAGACCATTCTAACCATCGTGTCTGTACTGGGTCCCAAGAGAGCTTCCCAGCCAGTCTCATTCTCAAGCCCTAATCACTGTAGCCCTCAAAATTCATCACTTTCAAATATATATCATGCTCTCTTTTGAAAACTCCTACAGAATTGACCAATTTCGCTCTCCCAGGCAGTGCTTTCCAAATCCTAACAAGTCTAAGTAAATAAATTTCTCCTTTTCTTAGTCCTCACTCTCTTGCTGACAATCGTGAAATTATGGCCCCTAGTTACTGATATAACAACTAATGGAAACAGAATTTCCTTCTTTACCCTGTCAAAATTATTCATGGATTTTGAACACATAAGGTCACCTCAATTGCCTCTGCTACAAAAGTAAGCCCAATTTCTCTAACATTTCCTAGTATCTAAGATTCCTCATTCCTGGTATCATTCCTGTAAATCTCACTTGAATTCTCTCCAGGGCTTTAAAATTCTTCTTTAAATAAGGTGCCCAGAACTGAACACAGTACTCCAAATGTGGTCTGACCAATGATTTGTACAGATGTCACATCACTTTCTTGCTTTTCTCCTCAATATATCTATTTAAAACCCCAAGGATCTTGCAAGCTTTCTTAACAACTGTTTTAACTTGCCTGGCCACTTCAGAGAGTTATGCTGTTGAGCCCTTGGTCCCTCTGCTCCTATACTCCCCTCAAAGTTGTACCATAGAGTCTTTATTGTCTCTCCGTATCCATGTCCTTCTACTAAAATACATTACCTCACAATTCTCTGCATTAAAATTCATCTGCCAAGTGTCTGCCCATTTGGCCAACTCGTCAATGTCCCTCTTGGCATTAACCCACAATTTCCCCATTCCTACTGAAACAGTAAGGGGGAAGCATGGCAGACTGGCAATGCTGGGGAAGGCAAGCCCCACCAGTTTAAAAAAAAAGACCATTACCTCCTGAAGATGGGATTCCTTCTTCTTTGAAGAAAGACCCAGGTGTCGGTCAAGTGCAGAGTAGAACTTCTCACTTTCTTTTTCAAATTTTTTCTTTCTTTCCTGCAGGTAGGAAAAAAGGTCAGTCAATAAGATTCCACTCAAAGTCCTATAGGTCTCTTATCTGCCTCCTTCTTTCAAACCTCCACTGTCCTCTCTGCTGGACGGAAATGATTGTCACTTTTTCAAAGAAAATCAGAGACGTTCAGCATTCAACCAATGTCACTAAAACATACTGTCTGGGAATTATCAGAGTGCTGTTTGTGGGAACTTGCTATGTACTGACAAACTGCCATGTTGCCTACAGCACTGCAGTAACTATAAAGCACTTTGGAACATCTTTACAATGTGGAAGGTCTTACTCTTCCCACATCTACCTGAAACAATAATTAGTCAACTGACATCAAAACCCACCTCAGACAATATAAGTTCAAGAATCGACCTCTCTAAATGTTTTCTCTTTTGAACCCGTCATGTTGCTGTGACTTTTTCATTCCTTGGTATGCCAGGAGATGAAAGGCAGATTTAAAACCCAAGATTTACTCATTATCACACAGGCAAATGTTGAATTTTGACCCAGCGGCAATGAAAGAATAGTGAGATAAATCCAAGTCCTTCAGGGTGGTCGAGGTTGCTAGGAGGTGTAGAAAGTGTTGCCTACTAAATTATGTCTCTAAGCTACTATGCCTTTAAGACGTGCTCATCCCTGCAGAACTGTATGTGACCTGAAAGTGCAAAGGTCTCATAATCCATCTTCCACACAGATCATTTGAAGCATGAAACACTACTGGAAGCATCCACCTCAGTTAATATTAGCCTAGACACTGACTGTGAATGTAATGTTTGCATATAATAACTGCCTGCATTGAATACCTATTGGATTCTTCAGATACAATGATATCCAAACCCAGTTAGTGTCACGGGAAATTATATAACCATCACTGCGTCAGGTAAAATACCCTGCTGATGGCAAATTCACATCATTGTCAAAGTAGTCTTAGTGAGTTACTGCAGTGCATCGTGTAGATGGTACACATGGTGGCAGCAGTCATGGAGGGAGTGGCTGTTTAAAGGTGTTGGATGAGGTGCCTGTTAAGCAGGTTGCTTTGTCCTGGATAGTGTGTAGCTTCAGGTGTTGTTGGAGCTGCCCCCATCCAGGCAAGTGAGG